CTGACACCTTCGACTAGAATTGGCTAAAAGTTTTACAACTGAGGTTTAACACGCCCAGATGCAGTTTTATAAAGAAAACAGATTAGAAAAAAGTTTAGATACCAATCATAGATGGCAGGACCAGTGCTGAAGTGAAAGGAAATATCTTAAAAATTAAAAAAAAATTCGTAGAGGGTGCTTATTTACAGTCTAAAACGTAATTTAGGAATTTTTTCATTAAATTCCTCTTTAAACTTCATTAAACAATACAATTTTGTACAAATAATTAAATGTTATGCTACTATTTACAAAAATAAAATCTGAAATCCAATAAAAGATAAGTTCTCTATCATTTTTTCAATTCACAAATGATTTTGCCCTCACAATAAGACAAAATGGCCACGTCAAGTATCGGGTTAAGGGAACTGTGTTGGGAAATTTGTTGTTCTGTCAACAACTTGTGTGATCAAAATTGTTGGCATAAAAAACATTTTAGTTTTATACTATTGAACTCTGATGATATAAAGATGCTAGGATATGTTGGTGTAGTTGAAAATATTTTTTATATTCATAAAACTTTGAACATTGTTAGCAGTGTTGAATACAAAGTTAGAATATTGAAAATTATACAGTTAAAAGTATGGAAATTATACTTGCATGAAAATAATGTTAGAATTGAGATTTGATTGTTGATAGTGCTTGAAGCTTTCAATTGAATAGTTAGCCAATAGAATTTTTGGAATATACATATATTTATATTTAGAGGGGTAACAGTTGAATAATTTAAAGATCTGTATATTTGTTACTACTGGAAGGAATACAAGGAAAGGGTGCAGAATTGGATTACTAAGATTTTTTCTGGTTGAATAGATTTTACTTAATTTTCTCTGGAGCATTTAAGAACCAGAGGTGACTTGATTTAGGTGTATAAAATTTCTTGTATATACATGAATGTCAGTAGGCCAAGATTTGATGCTTTTATTGCACCTCCATTGTAAATTTTAGAAAGGTAAGTTAGCAAACTCATGTATCATTTACTCAGGATACTTCCTTGGTGTGGTTTTGGAGTTTTTCTGTGAAATTCTGAGGTCATTCAATGATAAGATGAGACTGTGTAAAGCAAAAAATGTTTGTATGTGGTGTAGTGATCTGTATGGTTATGCAGTTCCATAGATCTCATTTGACAATGTAAAGACTTGTACTTTCTGATAAAGAAGATCAGTTATATAGTTTATCATATTTCAAGGCTTTGATGCTCAAAATAAGAAGTTGCTTGTAACTGGCTGTGGAAACAGTCTGACCACTATCATTCTAATCTCAATAGAGAAGCAAGTCTTCATAGTCATTAACCTAGAGAGAAAGAACAAATTAAACCTAAGCATAGATGATTTCCAAGGATAAGAACCTTGAAAATGAAGTAATCTGCAGTTAAAGACTTCATTACACAATGTAAAAGAATATTTTATGAGAGATTTGGTTCCTGGTAGTGGTATGCAATTTCAAAAATTTAGGAACCAATTTATAAAAAAGTTATATAACATCTAATGAGTCCGGGAGCTAAATAGTATGGAATCTTCTTCTCTACTAGGTTCATAACGTTTTATTATAAAATTATATGATGTTTCCACTATGGGATCAAGCTTCTTGATGTACCAGCATAGCTGGAGATTGTATCGTAAGCGAATCTCTGATGTTACCTTAAAAACACAAGTAATATGAATAATCATTTATTTTTCTCTTAGGAGTTTTTATTAATAATGGTTTGCAATCAAAAAATAAAATGCATTTTTATACATTGATAGTTTAGAATGTTTTTAGAAGGATAGACTCAGTTACCAGAAGTTACAGATTGCACATTTTATTTTTCTTTTGTACCAGTTTTATTCAATTCCTGTCCTAGGAATCAATACTGATATCATCTTCATTTCACTGAAAGAACGAACTTGAGTTTGTGTGTCAGAAGTAACAGAACCAGAATTTATATTTTGTGGTCATTTTCCATTGTTAGTTCCTGGACAAGTTATGAAATTTAACATACATATATAATAGACTACACAAAACAACTGAAGAAATTTAAATTTAAAATATTTTAGCTATGACAAGGAAAAGACATTTTAAAATAAAGTCAATCATACCCTCAGTTCATCTTTATGGAAATCAGAACAACTGATGATCAACTAGTCAAAACAGTAAAAGTGAAATGTGTGAGGTCTCTATTTATATTGTACTTATATATCGCCACCAAAGTTATTGAGGGGGTTCTGAAATTTAAGAAATGGGAAGCCATTCAAATTGGTAAAATGTGGAGATATTCCAAAATAAATTCAATGGTGAAATAAAAACAGCTAAATGGGTTATAGTTAAAAACAAACACTAACATAAAGTTTGGTGTTTCTCTGAAATTGATGATATGGCATCACCATCTTTGAACCTTGTGTTAGTGCTTGTTTTTGAATAATATCATATTTTAGCTGTCTTAATTTTACTACCAACCTTTTAAGGTTCCTGGATCATAATATTCTGACAGTTTGAGATCTATACAATAGTATAATTTGAATTAATAAGAAATACAATTTAGGGCTTTTAAAATATTGATAACTCTTTAAATTATTCTCTATATATTTAACTAATATGTTGTTGTTGTTTTTACAGCCACAAATCAGTGGTTTGTACCACCAGTGAAAGGAGATATTCCTCCTGGTTGTGCAGCCTATGGCTTTGTTTGTGATGGCACAAGGCTTCTGGTATTTGGAGGCATGGTGGAGTATGGCAAGTACTCAAATGAGCTGTATGAGCTTCAAGCCAGTCGATGGGAATGGAAGAGGCTTAAACCTCGTCCCCCGAAGAATGGATTACCACCATGCCCTCGTCTTGGCCATAGCTTCACTCTTATTGGTAACAAAGCCTACTTATTTGGAGGACTTGCAAATGACAGTGATGATCCAAAGAACAACATTCCCAGGTACCTATTTTTCTTTTTTAAAATAGTAATTTCAACTAATAATTACTGGTTGACACCAGGTTAATTGTATAATTTTATTATTATTGTATTCTATCTATAGAATTAATCATATATTTTCAGTTCAGTTGATACAAACATATTTCAGTGTTATAATCACAATGGATATTCATGACAGTTAGTGTTACACAAACTCTGTTAAGTGTAACACTAACAATGATGCATTACAAGTTGAATGTTCATGTTGTGTTGTTAGTTGTGCTTTAATAATATACAATAAGTAATTATAATTTAACTATTAATCATACTTGTATTAACTCAATAGACACAGAAAAATTAATTTTATTTCTAGAATTTTTCTCTGTATTAATTTGACTGAAAAATGTTACTGGTCTTAAAAAGTATTAACTAAAATCCTCAGTTATTTTTGTTATTATACTTGTGCATCTTGTATTAGAGTGTTTTCTTTTACCTCCAGATTTTCTTAGGCAGTTGTTAAGAGTTTTAATATTATCAAAGAAATTGCAGCCAAAAGGTTTGTATCTCATATAACCTTCTCAGTCATATTTGTTCAACAGTTTTAAATTCACATGTTGTTCAAACCGCAGTATTGATGATCCGCTAACAGTATGAAAATGACCATGAGACTTCAGCAGAAAACACCCAGTTTACTCAATGTTTTTGCTTTTTAATCCAATTTTTATGTCTTCTTTGGCCACTTTCCCCGGTGGGACAGCAGTAAGTCTTTACAATGCTAAAAAATTAAGGGGTCGATTCCCCTCGGTGGACATAGCATATAGTCTGATGTGGCTTTGCTATAAGAAAGCACACAAATGTACACTTTTGGCCACATCAATATTAAAAACAAAATTGAAATTATGTGGTGAAAGGAAGTATTTTTAGTGTTTCTCTCAGAACAATGGTAGAAATACTAAATCATATTATTTAAATTTTTCTGAACTGAAAATTAGATACTGTTCAGTAAGTTTGTACTTAGTTTCATGCAATATGGGTATTTCCATTGTGAGTATAAAAAAAATGGATATCAGTGTCATATCTCTGGTCTTGAAAGGGAAGGAAAATTGTTGTATTTTAAACTAAAAAGTTTTGAGATTCATTGGATGTAATTGCTTGCACTTATACTATCATGGTTCCATATTTGAATTCCAATGATGTAGGTAACACATAACTATTTGATAATTACTGGTTAAAACCCTTCATAAAGAGTTTGAGGTAGGTAAAGTAAATACATTTTCATCTTTTAGGTACCTGAATGATCTCTGTACCCTGGAACTGAAACCATATTCTAGTGTAATGACATGGGATAGTCCTCAAGTGTTTGGTCAACCTCCACCCCCACGGGAATCTCATACAGCTGTTGGATATTTTAGTTTTGACAACAAACAACCTCGTCTAATCATCTATGGTGGTATGAGTGGTTGTCGCCTTGGTGACTTATGGCAATTGGAAATAGGTAAGTCGCAGAGATTCAGAAAATAAATATTGTAGAATGACATATCACTGGTATTAGGCAAAAACATATGACAATGTTTTAGGGCATTAAAAACAAATGTTATCTTCCAGTACAATACCTTATCTCCACTCATATAATAGCTTTTCTCAACTTGTGCTGCCCTCTATATGCTCAGTTTTTGCTCACCACTAGCCTTGATGTTTCCACCCACCCTCATGTAATTTCACATGGTATAGCTGAGCTGTAGCATGCAAATGAGCATGTGAGAAATATCCACTAATAGGAGTGTAACATGCCCTCCTCGTGCTGCTGACTTCCTCTATACTATAGAGTACTATCATCATTTCTCAATTAGGCATTCCAGTATGAAGTGGTGCTCAATTTTTGCTCTCTTGTGCATTTTCATTTGATTCTAATGTGCTTTGACAACTCTTATTTTATTGTTATTTATTTGCTGCTGACTTAGTATTTGTGGAATATTTTTCTTTTCCATATGATTTTACTACAACCCCATCTGTTATCGATCTGGCCTCTACTGATCTATCACAACTTAGAACTTATGTGGCTTTGCTGAGGAGGTTTCGGCCATGATGAATAACAAGTTATCTTGTGGCCAGCTACAGCTCCAAAACCTTGGCTGAATCTGGTCCCAACAATGAGGATTTGGGCAGCCTTTTTCCACCTCCAGCTTTTGCTGTACTGTCCTGTACTTCCTCTCTGGATTTCCCACCACCTCTTTTGGCTTTTTTGGTCATAATTTCCCAGGTATGTTACCTATTTTCCTTCCATGCACCTCCTTTCCAAGGTATTCACCATTCCCCTTATAGTTTATTATGTGCTTCTGCCTGCTTTCTATCTGCGAGACCTCTGTCTAGCCCTTTTTATGACAGTCTGTATTAGGAGTCTCAAGTGGAAGCTGCACGTTAACATTCCTCCCTTTCCTCTCTTCTTTCTCATCTTTCCTAACCCTCTCTTATTCCTGTTGCTGTGTCTGGCTCTCCTGCATCCTCACCACTACAGGTGCCACCTTCTTGTTTTTTTGTGGTATGTCTCCAAATTGTCCATTGTTGTGTTTTCCGATGCCAGTTTCATGGGTTCTGGCACTGTGGCACTTAAACAGCTTTGTTCACCTGTGGTGCCCATTCATTTTAGACTCTTGGGTTCTTCAGGTTCTAACAGAAAGACTATTCTTTTAATTTTCTGCTCCTTCTTTATCTTTACGACCCACTTTCTTCCTCCCTCCTTGAAATCCCATTTCATGTCAATGTCTCTCAAAGGCAATTCAAGATCTTTACCATAAAGATACTATTGAATAAGTATTTCACACTTATTTGGAGTTTTATTCCTAGTTGTTTGTGGTTCCTAAAAACACTGGGGATTGGCATCATGTCATCAATCAATAGAACCTCTACTGCTTCTTTATCCTCCAGCAGTTCACCATTTAGTCTTTCCTCTCCCTTTATTGGTTGTTCTCTTCAGGTGTTTGGATGACTAAGGTCGAAATCTCTGATGCATATCTACATTTCTCCTGCATCCAGCCATTACCTTTGGTTTGTTCATAGGGTGGAGTGTTTTCAGTTCTGTGCTCTACCTTTCAATTTGGCATCAGTGCCATTCATTTTCTGTCATGTGGTCAGAGACTTTGCCCACCATTTTTACCATCAGGGTTTGTGGTTCCATCATTATATCGATTTTTAGCTCTGTTCCAATAAGCCTCTCACAATCATACTCAGTGGCAAAATGGTATATCTGTGGACTTTTTCTGTTAGAAACTGGGTTTCAGTACTCGTGGGGGGCATTGTGTAGCTTTGTGCTTAACAATCAAACAAACAAATCCTTCTACAGGAGGCAGCTCATGTGGGATGGTTTGTAAAGTTGGAGAAATCTTATCTCACTCCCACATGGTATCTTATCCATTTTGGGGTATTTTTCAACAACTACCTCAGCAGGGCCCAGACTCTTCCTCTTTATCTGTCACTTTTGGAGTCCTGTGCTTCCATGGATACCCTTATACTATGCGGTCGTGCACACATGTTGTCTTCAGTGGGTGTTACATAATCAATGGAATCTCATTCAAGGTCCCTTTGACTCTATCATCATCCTCCCTACTTCCCTACTAGTTCACTTTGTCTGTTTGCCTGACAGAGACAACACTTCAACTGGCATTCCTCTGCCTCTTTCCCATCCCAATTTACACCTTTTTTACAGATGCTTCTGTTACAGGGTTTGAGAGTATCTGGATTTTCAGAAGATCTCCAGTCATTGGATGGTGGTCGAATTTTCCCTCCACGTTAACATTCTGGAACTTTTTGCAGTTTGTTGGGCCTTGGATTATTTCCTACCTTTAGTAAGGGTCTATTTGGTTATGATTCATTCCAATAATTTGACTGTTGTCTCTTACATCAATTGACAAGGGAGTGCTTGTCCCCCTCCCCGCCATTCACTTTGCTTTCAAATGTTGGTTCTCCTTTTCACGGCCCTGACTCAGCAAGTTGGTATTCTTGCTTGTTATGTCCCTTTTGCTCTGAATCTTGGAGGATATGGCACATTTTCTGGAGGTGGGCTTTGCACCATGATTTCTCACTTTTCCAACCTAGTGTTTCCCACCTTTTTGATTACTTTACTTAGCTCTTCAACAATAGTTTCTCAGTTTCTAGCATTGAAGGCTATAGGGCAGCCTTGTCAAATACCTTTCATTTCTCCAGCTCCTGTTGCATTTCTTCCTCTACCATTCTCTTGCCTTTTTGCCTGCCCCATCTGATTCCCCTACCTTATTGGAATCACAGTGTGCTCCTTCATGTTCTTACCCTTCCTCCTTTTGAACCTTTGGCCACATGCTCATTGTACCATCTCTTACTCCTTTTCAAATGTTGTCATTGTAAATCAAATATCTTCAATATCAATGTCTCTTGTATCCTCTGTTATCATACCTATGTTCTCCTTTACCCAGATCATAGTTTTTCCCCTGTACGTGAAAGGCACATGAAGGGGACATAACCACATGTTTCCCTCCTCTCAATTTCATATGTGCATTCCTGTTCTGATTTAGATCATCTGCTTTGTTTTGTTGCCCACACTGCTTCCTTTCATGAATCTCATCCCTGTATTTTTATATTATGGAATACTTCCTCTACCCATGATATTTCTCCTATCACCCTTACCATATGGATTTGCCAGCTTATTTGTCTTGCTTATGCATCATTATCTGTGGATTCTTATCTCATTTGCATGAGTGGAACAAAGAAACTGCTGTGGAGTCTGATAATACAACAACAAACAATACTTTATTAATTCTCGATATCCAAAATATCTGAATATTCATTGATATTGAAAGCACTGAAGTTATCTTGGAATACTTCTACATCAAACATATCAAATTCTTTGTTCCACTCATGTAATTGCTTATTGATTAAGCCTTCTATAAGATTCATTAATTCTGACATTGTAGTGAACAAATTATCCAATAAACTAGTTTGTGAAATATGTTCAGACATAATTCAATTTATAAATCTTGCTTAAAACTTCTTACCAGTGTAGTTTCCTTCAACATCATAGTATTTCACACAGGGAACATTATATGCTATATGTTGTTAGACTAGAGAGGGTAGCATTAGGTACTTACCTATGTTAACCAAAAGTTATTTGTTATTTGTATGCTATAAAAGAAATTCAATGCAGTGATGTAAAATGCCTAAATTTCCAAAACAACAAGTTATTTTATCTCTAACAGAAATGATTAAAATCAAGTTTGACTGCAAGCAATTTTTTCTGTACAGCTCATTCTTTCTGGGTTTCAAACCTGAGGTTTATAAACAAAAAATAGAATTAATTTGTGTGTGTGTAGCACAAGTTAATTCCCAGAAAGCATTTCTTTCAATATCAAACTAATCACTTGAGTTGGACTTGTGGCATACAAAAATAAACTCACTTCATTGCTGTATTGACAATATTTTGTTTGTTTTTTACATTTCTCTGAATTAATAATGTTGTTGTTGATGTTCAGTAGATTTTTATAATAATTATTAGGATTGTTAACAGTGGATGCACATATTTTAACTGAATAAATGCAGTCTTTTCTTTTAACACAGTTACTTCCATAATAGGCTTTTCTCAAGAATATATATATACGAACATATTGGTATATGAAATCATGTTAGACTGATGCATTAATTTTTTTTTACATGGACGTAACTATAATAATGAAAACTAAATGAGAATGTTCTTTAGAAACTAAATTAATAATAAGTATGGTAAAAATTAATTATTGAACAAATGTGTATTTCAGCTATTATTAGAATGGTTTTTTTATGAGTATTTGCTTTTCCTTATTTCTTTTGTATATTTTATCTATGTTAAGCATGTTAATTTTTTTGCTTTATTTTAATTGATTCAGATACAATGCAGTGGCATAAACCAGTGGTGAATGGTATTCCTCCCCTGCCTCGTAGTCTGCATTCTGCTACCTTGATTGGAAACAGAATGTTTGTTTTTGGTGGTTGGGTCCCTCTAGTGATGGATGATAGTAAAGCGGCAACCCATGAGAAGGAATGGAAGTGCACAAACACACTAGCTTCTTTGAACTTAGGTAAGATGTTTCTCTCTAAATTTCCTTTTAAAGCTGACTGATTAGCATTATTCTTATTCCAGCTTTTTTTTTTTTTATGTGAAATACCCATGATTCAATATGACACACACACACACACGCATATATATGTATATAAGTTTGGGTATAAACTTATCAATGATAGGAGATCCATACAACCTACAGCTTTACCGATTGGTACATCTGTATGAAAACATACTGGGAACACATTTAGGAAGAAGAACAGCCATAACTGGCATTTTAAGGTTATCTTAAAACATGGTACGTTTAATTTAATCTGAAGAATACAGTAGTATCAGTACAAGTCAATTATTGAATAGTTTATGCATACGTGTTTACTGCAAATAATTGAGCATGATTTTCAGTTTGTATGTGGACATGCATGTTAATTATATATTAAAATCTTGCTGTTAATACAGTTTAAGTAACAATAATAATAAAATAAAAGAGCTACCAGTATTTATCAGTAGTATACTGAATATTCATAGTAGGATCAAACATCTCAGGTGAGAGTGATACTTAGGTTCTCAAATATTTGTTTAAGCATTAAACAGTAGTGCATTTTGATAAATAGTGTTACTTTTTCTGATAGTAATCTGTGTGAATTCATCAAAAAACTAATGGGCCTTTCAAAATATGCTCTGGAAAAAATCTTTCTTTTACTAATTGTAAAATATTCATCTAAATTCAGTATTGTTATAATAATTGAAAATTATGTAATGTTATAATAATTTTGAATTCCATAAACTTCAGTACTTCCTTTATGTTTATACAGCTTTAATGTATAAATTCAGGAAATTAAGTTTCAATAAATTCTGTAGTATTTTATCAGGAGATATCTTGTATCTATTTCTGTGAAATCCTTTAAACTTTTCCTGTATAACTTGTTATTAATTTATGATCATGCAGAAGTAAGATGTTCATTATGTGTATCAAGCAGGAGCTTATAGTAGAATGTCTATTTTTATTTCAGTTTTAGTTTTTTGCAAACTTTATAATGGGCATTTTTGTACACACAGAAACAATGACATGGGAACCTCTAGCTATGGAAGTGTTTGAAGATGCCATACCAAGAGCACGTGCTGGCCACTGTTCTGTTGCTATCAATAGTCGGTTATATGTCTGGAGTGGACGGGATGGCTATAGGAAAGCTTGGAATAATCAAGTAAGATTTAAAAGTGATCTTAAGGTTATTTTTGTGTGTAATAATTAGGAAGTAATATATTTATGAAATTTTATTCTAAAAAATTAAATGTATTTTATTTAAACTTCCTCAATGTTATAAGCATTTCAGTAAAAGCAGATATCAGTAACAGATATGAGTAGTAGTATTGAGTTTTTTCAAAAACATTTATCATTGCAGCGGGATTTTAGATGTTTATTTTATTCTTTAAGCAACTGGAGTTTGCCATAATGTTTCAAAAATTGCCAGTCTATTGAAATGCATGACACTAATGATGTATTGCATATACAATATGACATTTCAAGCACTAATGCTATATATTTTTGATTTCTTATTTCAAAAGATGACTTAGGAACAAATCAGATATCATTTTCGTGTTTGATCTCATTTTGACACACTCTTATCTAACAATTACTTGATTAGATGATAATTATAATTGCATGTAAGTTTTAACTCCCTGACCTACACAGTTTAATTTAGTAATGCTTCTTCTAGGTCTCCAAAAACTGCAAGTATTATATTCAGTCAGAGAAGTAATGTTTTTAGGAGAATATTTAGGTTTCTTGTAAAATGTAGTTTCTCTCTGGGATTTTGCTGCATTTCCTTGTGCATAAAAGAATTGTGGTTGAAGAAACTCATTCATTTTTACCAAACAATTCAAATTTATATTCGTATGTAAGAAGCATGGTTTGTTGTTCAATGATCTTTAAGCTTTTTAATTTGGTTACCTTTTCTTTGTAACAGCTTTTGAGTGGTTGTGTGTCCATTGAGACTGCTTTATATTAATTTGTCTTACACTTCAATCCAGGCTTCAACCTTATCTTCTGAAGGCATTTGCAAATGGTTGTTAATTACCTTTATACCCATTAGCAGATTTGGGAATGCTACTAAAACATTATTATTCTCCGAAAGTAACTAACTTGTCATGATTTATTATTTTATGCATTAAATATTAATAAATATGTATTTATCCAATTTATATCTATAAATAATCTGTGTCATGTGTTCTTCCCAAATATTTTCAAATATCAGAACTCATTTTAATTACACGCAAGTGTTTTTATTGGAACTATTTCACAGAAGTTGAGTAGAAACTGGTGTATCTAGTAGGCTACAAGTGTCTGGATCATCAGAGTTTGCATTGCCTCACTGCTGACATCAACCCTATACTGAAGAAAAAGTATTCTATTATTAAAACTTGTGTTTAAATGCTAAAATTAATTGTGGACAAGTTAAGAAGAATTTAGAATAAAAACATCTGCAACTTGCATTATTTTGTTATTACCTCACACTGATCAACCATTTGGGTAAAGTATAACACCATGCAAAAGCTGAATCGTGTACGTCAAGCCAGCTTGTACACACCATGACAACCAATCAAATAAGTTGAAGCTGAAGTTTCTCTAGCTGTCTTTCCTCCTTTTCATTCTATTGTGAACCACCTTTCTACATTTTTTTACTTGGCTGTTTGATCATGGTTTGTTGGTCTCCACCATTGCTGGTACCATAGGGAGTTTTCTTCCCCTGTCCTCTCCACTCTATTCTGCTCATTCTTTCTTTACTGACTCCCATGCCTGGCCAGGACCTTAATGTGGTTTTGCAATCTCTAATGCATACTACTGGCTTCTTGCTCTTTGTACCACCTTCCTCTTGAGACTTATTTTCTCCTCCATTTCAGTTCTAGTTGCCATTGTTTGGATGTCTATACTATTGATGCTTCTCTTCTATTGCGCTTGTATAGTCCTATACTCGTTCACATGCAGGAACAGACAAAGGCAGGGACCCCGAAAGGGAAAAGTCCATGATAAGTAAAGCCAAACAGGACATAGGAGCTTTTTCTTTCAGGGACCTCTCTCCTTTACTTTTAAAAATAGAGTTTTGCAGTCACCCACTGCACATTCTCCAGTAAAAGATCTTTCTGTCTAGTGGTCTGAATGGATCTAGACATTTCTCCAAGTCTCCCCAATGCAAATCCTCCCCCTCTTCTTAAAGTGGAGCATGGAAGATCCAGTCCTCATTGGTTGGGATTAGCACAATATGATGAGAAGTAAGAGAGTGGTGACACAGTCAGTGTAGTGTGGGTCACCTGTCACACAGCTAATGTGTCTTCCACCAGCAGCCAGTAGAGTCAAGGTTAGCATACGCAGTACAGTATAATCATGTCCTAACCACACTATACATATTGGCTCACTGACCACTTGTTTGCAGGTACTTGGTTATTCAAGATCATATTCTATCCATCCCTGCGACTTTTCAGGCCCCCCC